ATCTGGTTTTTCCTGTGGGGGAAAGCAGAGGCATCAGAACAGCTTCTCTGCTTATCACCCTGTCCACCAGAACCCAAACAGTGTTTGCTGCTTTGTATGGGTGGTGGAAGGCCAGCATAGCAGGCAGTCTTGGCTGCGGCAGTCTCCCTCTAGAGGCTGCAGAAAGAAGTGCAAGGATGAGCAGGTACATGGGGTTTGCCAGGCTGGAAAAAGCCCTGGGTTCTCACTCCAGGTCCTTGCCAGGAGTATGAGGGGCTGAAAATGCTAGGAAACACGACCTCTATCCCCAACTCACACTCAGCATAGTTAGCTGCGCTGGTTTGATCCTTTCTCAAGGAATGCACTTGGTCCATGAAGTTTGGACCCAGACTGACCTAAGCTATCACGCAAGCTGCCAACTTGATTCTCTAGGCCAAAAGGACTGGAATGATGAAATGTTACATCTGTGAAGCAGTATCCTGTGGCCAGGTTTTGTAACCTTGGGCATTCTGAGTCCCACTGTCTTCAAGTTGAGCCCCAGCAGTAGTCAGCAGACAGGTTGCTTTCCAGCCATAAGGATCCAGAAGAGACACTGCTGTCGCTAGTGCAGGAGGTGCTGAGATCCAGAGCTGGGATTGGGAGGGGAGTTGCAAGTGATTTAGAGACCTTGGACAGAGCTGGCTCTGCCAGAGCAAAGGCTGAGCAGCAGCTGGCTCCTGTCTGAGCTCCTGAGTCTGCTACTCAGTGTACAGATCCTAGGAACTGAAGGCTGGGCCCCTCTGGCAGGAGCCTGCGACCTGTCTGCATTGCTCTAATCACTGGAGCTCCTGCCTGCAGGCCAACAAGGCAGAGGGAAGGAGGGATACTACGTGGAAAAAAAAATTGGAAGAGACTTGGGTTGCAAAGGGAAAAATGTAATATGGAAAAAGCAAGCATGGGGGGTGTATTTTAAATGTGCTTTACAGGTAAATGACTTCTACATGAAAGTCTGGAATTTCATCTCCTGCCATCCCATCCCCAAACCCCAGATTCTAGACTTCTTGGCGTCTGCAGATCCTGGGAAGAAGATGTCTGACACAGGCCAAGTCCTTCCCAACTGGGTAGGGAGCTGAAACCCCAAAGGGGAAGGAGTACTGTTAGCTATCTGCCATTCCCAAGACCCTAGAATTTCCCCGGCTCTCCTGTATCCATTTTCTGGCTCTCAGAGGGATGGACTCAAACACCTGCTTAGAGAAACTGGGTCACTTCAGGGGTGCCTTGGTCTACAGGACTACTAAGGGATGCTGGGAAGAGCGCTCAGTGATGCCTCTGAGATATCTAGGTTAGGCAGCCTGCTGAGGATAGCAGGGACCATGGGACCTTTTGCTCCCAAGACCCCTGCTCTAATTTCCCATATGAGCCATTTGCATTGTTACCATTGTTGCCTCCGCAGTACAAGAAAGGGCATGAGGAGCTCCTAGGCCTTCCTCCACAGGCCAAGCTACCTGCGCAATCTCAACACCTTCACATCCCAATAGCTCTTTCTACAACAAGAGCTCTAAGGTCTCAGGCCAGCCCTAGTCACTCAGAGATGCTATCTCCATCTGCAGATGGGCACATCACGAGGTCAAAAGGGGCTGGGGACTTTGGAAGCCACCACCACCTCAACATTTTCTCCCCTGTGTACCCCACAGCTGCCACCTGTCCACTCTCTGCCAGAGCACAAGGTAATAAGAACTCAGCCCCACTTGCTCCTAACTTTGGCCCAGACTGCTTTTGTCCTTTTTGCAAGTGATCCTCTAGTGAGAAAGAAAAGGATCACTCCCCAGCAGCCCCTCCAGCTTTCTCCGCAGGCTTCCCGTCCAGGTCCTCTGTACCCTCTCTCATACTTCCCTGCCTAGCTTAAACCCAAAGTCCCTTTCACTCCATCCTTGCCTTACAACAATGCCCATTTTGGGATAAGAATATGGAAGTCAAGAGATGAGAATGCATTTGCCCAAGATCACACTTTCTTTTCTACAACAAGCACCTATGGCAAAGTACTAGTCAGGCTGGGTGCTGGGGAGATACACAGAAGTCAGAGGAAGAGAGACAAGCCCTGAGGGCCCTGCCAGAGTTCTGCATTTCCCAAGGAGGCGCCCTTGGCTCAGGTCCTAAAGTATAGAAGAATGAGTAGGAGAGATGAGTGCGCTCATGGACAGAAATAGTGAGGCAAGGTCTGTTTTTTGGGTTTTGTGGTTTTTTCTTTCTAGGCTAAACCAGGCAGTGCCTGATGTCAGCATTTTCAACAGGGCTCCCCATTCCTGTGACTGGAATCCTGGTGCCTCTTCTCTCCATAGCAACTGTCTGCCACATCAAGCTCTCTGGGAAAGTGACTTAGTCATCACAAAGTGGTGTTCTGAGCCAACCATCACAGGGATTAGCCCAAGGGGGCTGAACCTCAGGCCTGAGATGTGCCCACAGACAGATGCAAAGACAGGGACCACCAACAGGCACCACCAGTAGCTTGGGCTTGCCCACCACTGTCCCAGAGGCCAAGTCTCCTCTGAATCCAGGGTGTGTCTCTAGAGCTCCACAGCCTCCCCCCAGGCCACCAGCAGTAACCTCAAGGGCAACTGTACAAGAAGAGGGGCTACCAAGTAAGTAAAGAACTGCCCGTCTTCTGCTCTACCTAACCCCTAAGTTCCTCTCCCTCAAAACAAGAAGTAAGCACTGCCCACAGGAAAAGCCCAGAGCTTGTTTCTGAGAGCAAATTCCCCAGGGACATCTGCTTGAGCTGCAGATCCCTTCCAGCCTCCTCGCCTCTGAGTCCAAGTGTGCACATCAGCCCAGGAAAACGGCACACACGAGGCCTCTTGGCATTGAGTTTTCCAGTCTCTTTTCCACTCAGACCCCTTTCCCTGTCCACACCCTCTAACTCTGACCATTCTAGCAGGGAAATTGAACTGAAAAGACCTACCAGATGCTTCCACGTGGATCCACACAAGGTAAAAGGGCTCCATTCCATGTCTCAGTTTCCCTTTGAGAAAAATGAACTGACACCAGGCATATCAATGGAGAGCCAGCTCATACTAGGACCAGGATACAGGAACTACAGGAACTGACAGCAGATCAGGGGGATGAACTAGCCAACGTATTGTCCCTACCAGGGTGTGCTGTCAGTGAGAATAGTGTCTTTATGGCCTCATGGGTAAGAGAAAGGCCCAGAGGCCACACTGAGTTCAGAATCCGGTTCAGCAACTATCCACTTGTACAAACCTGGGCACTTCTTATGGCCTAGATTTCCCCCTACCTTTTATTTAAGCATTTTGGTACAAGGAGAGGGTTTAACTGGGAATGATGATTCCTCCTCTAAGATCATGGGAGCAAGAGGCAAGGTAGGGCCTGGCTTGGGAAGAAGAGGCTGGACAAGTTGTGGGCACCCAGGTCCATTCTCAACCATGGGTGTCCAAAGTCTGGACTGCAACACAGGAAGTTTCTCTGAGCCCCAGAACCCTAGAAAGCAGCTTTCTTCTTTCCTGGCAATGATTCTGTCCCATGTCACCATGGGGCTGGCAATGAAAGTGGTCTCAGGGCTCAGCAAGCAGAAGGCAAATTTGTGTTATGTGTGACCTGGCACAATATAGGCTATGGCTTGAAGCAACGTCTAAACTAAAGGGAGACTTCAGTGAGAGAGGAGAAGGGCAGGTTTCTGGCTTTCAGAATACATCAATCCAGAATTGGGGGTGTTTTCTTGGCATGCAGAAAAAAGTTCAGCAACAGGTGCCAATGCCTACCTTAGCCAGGCCTGAGAACCCACAGGAGCAGGACAGGTGAGACGGCACTGTTCCTTCAAACCCTGCGGTGAGTGGGCTGAGGGTGGTGCAGTGAACAGCACATACACTAAAGCCCTCCAGCAGATTGGACCTGGTGAATGCACCTGTGCCCTGGAGACTTGTTGGCACCCAAGCTGGCACTGTTTGTTCAGATGAGCCAGCTGAGGCTATGGGAAGATAACCTCCTAAGTCTCCCAACTGCAGCTCTGGGATTCAGAGCCCCTTACCACTTCAGGCTCATCAGCTTGTGAAAACCTGCTTTCTACCCCAATCCAGGTACCATGACCAGAACTCCAAGGAGCCATGAGACCAAGACAAGTCCAAGAGCAAGTGTCACCAACCACCTTAAGATCAAAACTCAGTAAAAATGCCTTGTGGGGATCACAACTCCCAACAAACTGCAGAGATTCAACGGCCCAGAAGGGGAAGGTGGACCTGGTAGGCTTCTCCCTGTGACCAGTGGAGCTTCCAGGTGCCACAGGTTGGAAGGAAGTGGCAGAGCGGACAGGAGGGCCCGAGTTTTCAGTCGTTCTCAGAGGCCAAGTATCACTATGCAGTTCCAAAGAGGACGAGGCTCTTGGCTCCCCCTGCCCCCGCACAAAGAATCCAGTCACAGAGACTGTATACGGCAGATCCCACTGATAACACCACAGTGACACTTGATTCGGCGCCTTCTGTCTGAGTATGAGCAGCTCCCTTCCAGCCCTGAGATTGCCCAATGCCCAGCACATTTCTATCACAAACCACCATCAAGTCCCTTTGCCCTAGGCTCCAGGCCATTGAGGGGATTCTTGGAGTTTGCCTCTGCACCTCAGTTTCTTCATCTACAAAATGGGCACATTTTACCGAGGATGGGAGATTCCGTGATTTTTGCAAAACACCAACTCTAGACTCACCCTGCCCCCTCCCAGCCGGCGCTCTACCAACAATCGATCTCATCCTCAAATGATTAGGACAGAGGAACAAGGCTGGCCAGAGGGCCACTTGCCTGCCTTTCTTGGTCACACTGAAGTACCCTGCCTCTCAGTTTCTTCACTCGCAGTGAAAAGCAGAAAACCGACGGTACTGCCTCCCTGATGGGAACCCCAGAAGGGATGCTTGGAGCAAGTATGAATTATGGGTAGGGAAACTGAGGCTCTTCCTTGTGTCCAGGACACAGACCGGGTGCCCCTTGCTGCCTCCCGATCAGTCGCGTCCTTCGGACGGCAGGCAACTCGACAACCCTACCTGGTACAGGTGCCTGGCTTGTGGGATGGGCAGAGGGTCAGGCGAGTGTGGTGCGCGGGCTCCCTCGGGTGGGCAGCGCTTGACCCTACCGGGCCGCGTCGGCGGGCACGGGCCGCAGCGGGGAGCGCAGGGAACCAGGGAGGCACGGACTGGGCTCCGCCCGCCCTAGAACAAACAGGTTTTCTCCGGCTGCAGGGAGCCTCGCCCCTCGCCCCTCCCCTCGGCCGGCCCCCTTCCTCTGCCCTCTCCTGGGGTAGGTAGATGCGCCTGGCACATTCCGCACATTCTCCCGCCAGTGTCCTCGGTCCTCCCACCCCTTCCCTGCTCCGTCCCGCGGGGCTGCTGGAGAAATCAAGGCTGGGGCTCCACTCGCCTGGCTTGGAGAGAGCTCCAGAAAGTTTTGCCGCCATGGAAAACTTCCAGGCTAATTCCTCTGGGCACCCGGCCCCGGGGCTGGGAGGCCTCCACCGCGTGAAGGGCCCCACTGCCTAGTGGCGTCCCTGCCTGCGCCCGGTGAGATCTGGCCCAGGCTCTGGGCCAACGACTTCCACAGATGCTGGCGGATCAGTTCTGTCGAGAACTACTGTGCCTAGATCCATTTTACAGATGGAGATCCCAGACAGGGGCGGGGAAAGGACCGGGGTGGGGGGTGGCGACTGGTGGTTGAGATCATGCAGGAAGTCAGGGAGAGGAGAAAAAAGTGAGCAAGAAACTTATGTCTGGCGCCTGGGAAAACTTGTACCCTGGAAAGTCATTCTTGGAGGGGGCAGGGCAGAACGCTGAAATCAGGACCACCTCTCAGACCAGGCCAGAAGACACACATTCAGTTTGATAAATGACATTCTTTCATGTTTGTTGGATACTTAATGTGTGCAAGACACAGGGTGGGAGGGTGTAGGGGTTGTTGAACTTAAAAGAACACCCCACAAAGGCTCCTAACCCTACCTGTGAGGTCAGGGAAGGCCTTACAACAGAGGAGATAGTTAAGGTACCTCAAGCAGAGAGAGAGAGAGAAAGAGAGCAAGAGAGAGAGAGAGAGAGAGAGAGAGAGAGAGAGAGAGAGAGAGAGAGAGAGAGAGAGAAGCCAATAGGTCCTACTTCTCAAGTCTTGCCAATTTTATAGCCACAGCCTTCAAATCTGCCCACTGGTGTCTCCTTGCAACTTACACTTCCTTCCCACCCAGCTATCACACGGAAGTCTGTTTAAGCAGCTTCATTGAGTGACTGTGACCAGATGTTACCTGCTTAGAGCTCTTTCCTACAGTTTCCTGTTATTCTTTGGATCAAAGTAGATGGATATCTTCAGAAGGCCTAAGGGGTTCCCTGTACTCACCCTGCCTTCCCCATGTCATTGGTCCTCACATCGCAGACTGTACTCACACTCTTGAAGTGCCCTTCCTCTAGCCCTCTGCTTGTAAACTCAGTCATTCCTCAGACTTCATCTTCTGCAGCCTGCCACCTAGTCAAGTTGAGCACTTCCTTCTGTGCACTCACTCCCCAGTTCCCTTTCTTCTCCATGGTGAGGTTGGTGCCCTGTCTGATTATCTCTGGGTCACAGAAACCAGACCAGGGAATCTGGGGCATTTGTAGAAGGAAGAGGTGGGAGATTGCAAGTCTAAAAGAAGGGCTCTTCTCTTCATGGGGTTTATCAGACAGAAAAGAAGAACTCCACGTGTTCTGGGGGAGCGGTTCCTCTTTGTCTTCTGCTAACAGGTGGTTTTCTCCTTTCAATTCAGTTGACCCCAGGCTAGTGACCAGCATCTAATGCTTCTTCCCCTTCTTCCACAGAGGCTACTGATGGTCTTGCATTGGGCTTGGCATCCTAGCTCCCAAACGTACTAACTATATGACCTAGGGTAGATCACACACCCTTTGGAACCTAGCCTAAAAAGAGGCAGAATGTAAAATGAAGTGATACAACCATGAGGAGGGACGAATAAGGGGGTGGCACTTGTCTCCCAAGGTCCACCAGAAAACAGAAAGCTCTGCCTGCTCCAGAACCTTGAATCAGGACTGACCATCTGAAAAGCATGAACGGGACTGGTAATCCAAAAGCATAACTGGCCGCAAGCTCTTTTCCTGTCCGAAGTGACTCAGTCCCTGCCCAGGATAGATCCCTCATGACAGGTCTAGTCAAAGAGAGCAGCCTTCAACTCCTCCCTCTCAGCCTGGCTGCCAGGCCCTGCAGTGGATCTTGCCTGTAAACGGGTTTGACTCGAATGGTAGCTGCCCTGCCCTGCCCTGCCCACCTGTTCACTGCCTCGACAGACTCTTCCAATGATGCTTTCCACTCCCACCCTCTTCCAGGGCTACCTCCAGATACCTCAGCCAGGCACCATGTGGGGAGGAGGGATGTTATGTAGCCCGTGCTGGCCTCAGCCTCTCAAGTGCTAGCATACAGATATGCACACGTAATATGGACTCAGATAAACCAAGTGCTGTCATATGACCAAGCCCCTTGGTTTGGGATGACATTTCTTCTCTGGGGACATCAGGTAATTTTTTTACCCGTTCTCAGCTGTCAAATTGTTATCTTCATGAACCTTTCCTCGGACACCTCACAAGTTCTAGCCCAAGGTTTCTGTGGCCTTCCTTTCCACTACTGTGCCTTGCAGCCCCTGGCTCAGCTCTGAGACTAGCCAAAATGTCTCCTTTCAGAGTTGCAGTTTTCCCCTCCACCCTTTCTTTATAGCTCCAGCATCCTTTGAGCTTGGGTCACAGCACCCAAGGGGACTGAGCAGTAGCCCCCTGGCATGCCATCAACAAGGCATTACTCTGAAAGGAAAGCACAGGTGCTGCTTCTAAGTGTAGAAGGCTCAAAGAGCAGGCTGGACTGCCAGGAAAGGAAAGGGGTGGCAGGGAGTGGCCCTGTTCAGCGAGGGTCACAACTCAAGAGTAGACAGCCAAAATAGCTTCTCTGGAAGACCAGACTGAAGTCAACAGATGGGCCAGGGGACAGGTGGCTGTCTGAGAGAATGGGCTAGCAGGATCACTAAGCTGCCAGGGTGGCCCCTTCCCATCTGCAAGGCTGGAAGCAGAACCCAGGCAGGCCAATTTAGCCGAAGAGTTCCCAGGCTTGGAAGGGAACAAGTGGTACCCTGAAAGCTATCAGAACCCAGAGGAGGCCCGGGGAGGATTCCTATACCAGAATACACTGGCGACAAATGGCCTTAACCCTGCAGCTGTACACATGGAGAAATGGAAAGCAGGGAGTGGGACCTTAAGATTGAAGCCAGTCTGGTGCAGAGTTGAGTCCAGAGGCTCCAGATGGACTATGTGTTCAATTGGTAGAAGCTGGGGTGCTTGAGTTTGTGTACAGGGAGTGCCACGTTCCTGCTTGTACCCTAATCCCCCCCCCCCTCCTTCCCAGGTCCCGCCCTGCTGCCTCATCCTGCTAAGCTCTTCAACCAGTTTATACTTGCTGGGTGACTCTGCTGACTCTCAACAGGGTGGGTCCCCTGGGGCTAGGAGTCCCTAAGCCAAGCAGAGCTACACCCAGAAAGAGATCTATGGAGCCCTGAGCTTGTGACACTAGGGATCAGCTCACCTGCTAGGAGGTAGCCCAAACTCTTAGCATTTGGGGTGAGTTCCTCTCCTACAAAACATTGCCTTTAGGGACCTCCTACAACCCCAGCAGTTTGCACTGTCCATTATGAGGTTCTGCCTCTTCCCCAGCAAGGACAAACACTCTTTCTTGTCAAGAGCACCCACTACACTGCACTACCACCTCCATCTCGCCCAGGAACAGGTAGCTCCTGGGGTGGTGGCAGAGGCAGAGAAGTCTCTTTCTGAAGACCAACTTCCATGCTCAGGAATTGATTGCTCCGCAGGCTGCAACCCTGCTGGGAGTCTTTAACTTATCTTCCAGTAAGGGGACTGGGATGCTATGCGCTTCCTGAGATGGGCCACTGTCAAAGGACTTCCAGCGCTGTGCTGGAGCTGTGCTGTCTTGCAAATACACTGTTTTGAATAAGCAGGACACAACTCTACCAGCAGTCTCTGTCTGAATGACCTGATGCCCCAGAACAGACTCTGCCTTTTCTCTCTGGCTCTGAAGCTGCCCCAGGCCAGGCCTCCAGAGCACGAGTGCACAAGCTGAGCCAAGGCCTTGCTGGCAGATAATCCCCACATGCCCTGAAGAATGGCCTTTTGCTGCTTTAAGAATCATCCACAGATCGGAAAAAGAATGTTCTAATTGGAAAACCTCCCCGCCATGGTTTTCCGGAGTTTTAGTACAGTTGGCCGGCAAGGAGGCTCCTGGGATGAGGAGGAAGGGAAGTCATGAGGAGGAGACAGTGGGCTCCCTGCCCAGCCCCCCCCCATCTCCAGAACTAGCTCAGCCACTGCTAGCCAGCTTGGGGCCATGCTGAGGGCCTGGGCTTGTCAGTCTTGAGAGTAGAGAGGCTGTCTGGCTTTAACTGTGAGCTTGTTCCTGAGTCCACCCCAATCCAACCCCCAGGAGGCCCCATTGCTGCCTCAGAAGTATTCCAAGCTCTTGGGACCCTCTCACAAGACTGATGGCTGTTGGGCACTGTGAACCAGTGTCTGGAAGAGGAAAAGTATGGAAGCGGTCACCTGCTCAGAAACAGGAAGGCATAGTGGATACTGGGGTCTGTGGGGCCCATGGCTCTAATGGGCCCTGTACTAGGAGGCCTGGCAGCCTGCATTTGAAATTCTGAACAGCCCCATCGGTTGCAGGAAGCAGAGAAAGAGGTACCTCAGCCCCTGGTCCTGCTAAGCCTTGCCTAGTAAGCCACTGGCTGACAGAGGAGCTTTCAAGTGTCAGAGCTATGGATTTGTTCTCTTGGGTGGACCTCTGCCCTTCCGACTAGAGAGCAGCACCTAGGATGCGGCACATCCCAGAAGCCGTCTTCATCCAGGAAGGGCAGGTTATTTGTAGGCTCACCTCTTGCAGGCTGTAGACGTACTCATCTTTCTCGGGCACCTTCCTGGATTCTTAGCTGTCTTGACTTCACCAAGGGTGGCAGCCTTTGGGAGAATAGAAGGAAGAAGTGTAGGGAGTTGCTCCTTGTCCATGCAAGGAGGAGCTTTACTCCCCTGTCCCATCTTTCAACTGAGATGAGCATCTTTCTTCTTCTTGCCCAAGTTGCTGCTGGTCAGATTCCTGGCCCAATCATGAAAAGTCAGGCTCTGGGCAAAGGCCTGGCTG